AGATTTCACCGTAGACCTTTCGAGTTTCCTAGGTCTGTTCTACGCCATAATAATACACTTTAATTAGTTTATGTTTCCGATAGATTTTGGCTTACTGTAGTCTTGCTCGCGAAGAATTTCTGCTTTTTTTAGGTCGCTTTTTCGGCAGACTTGGCCTTAGATTTTATGGATTTCCTAAGGGTGATGGCTGTGTTTGTTCTGTATAATGTTTCTATTGCACCATTGATAATTTCAGTTCAGTTCCTGTTGCTGAAACATCAGTAATTGTGGCCGTTAGTGCACCGCATCGACATAGCGCTATTCGAGCAACTGAACAAGCTATTGATTATTTGAAAAAAAGAGTACCATTGTGGAAAAAGGTAGACTTTTTTTGTTTAAAAGTTATGTTTTTCTGTTCAGAATTTGCAATTTAGCTTATTTCACATAAAAAAATTAAAAAAAAAAGTATAAAAAAAATATTAAACTCGAATCTTCCCATTTCTTTCTATCTATTTATATATCAGAAGCCTTCTCAAAGGAGCAAAAACTTCGAGAAGTAGCACGAGCGGTAGCAGTTGCCAACAGCAGTTACCCGCTGACAAGGCTTTCTCGAGAGTTGCTTAGAAGCAAGCTAGTGGCAAGTTTGACTCCCTCTATACCAATTTACCGTCGTAACGAGAATGAGGTTTGCTTTCCTAGCCTTTTGTTGTGGCTTTTGAAGTTTATTAACTTGCAGCTATTACTGGATTGCAGTGGCTGAACTTTCTGTGCTAGTACTATTTTTAAGTTGAGTTTTCTAAACCACAGAGTTGAGTTTTATGGATCTCGGAATCTGTTAGACTCACGGTATGTAGTTCAAGACTGCTTCGGGCAAAAATTTTCAAACACTTTACTTTTTGGGGACAATCCTGACACGTATTGGCTTCCATGAAGAATGTCCTGGCGCACGTTTACTTATTGCTGTTAGCTTCTGTGGTAATATACCTGTGGAAGAGATGTTTTCAAGTCGAATATGCAGAAAAACCCGGGTAAATTTCCAGGTGAATTTACCCGGATTTTCCGGGCAAATTTTACTTAGACCGGTCCGGGTAAATTTTTACTTTAAAGGTGCGACAAATTGCCCTCTGAAATTTGCAAAAACTTTTGTTGAAATTTTCAGGAAATTTATTCGGATGGTACTTCCTCGTGGAAAGAGGTCAACCAATGCTAAAAGCTGTTTTTATATGCAATAACTGGGCAATTATCCA